CTTCTAAGGTATTTTGCACATATATCTATATAGATAGATACTGTGTTATTCTTTATTCTGTATTCATTTGTCACTGAATATAATCCAGGTCTTTCTATAGGTCTAAAAAGTAACATTAATTGTACAACTAACTCTGATAGGAGGAGTGCTACAGTTTAAAAAGAGTAGCAAAGTATGATTTTAATTATTAAGAGAAAAGTAAATCAGTAGTTGTCTTATATAATAGTAACAAGAGTGACTTTTTCTACTTTTCTATATTGCTCAGATTCAACAGTGACTCTCTGTCACATAAAAATGTATTAAATTCTAGCTAATTTGAAATATTTTCTTAGCCAACAACAGCTAATATCTTCCAAAGTCATAGTTCAAATATTACAGATTTTAAAGAAATATCTTAACAAGTTATGCATCTAGCTTAATTGTCTTTAGCCATCAAAACTTCTGCCACTCTAAATTTTAGAATGTTCAGAGTGACATGCTAAACCTTTCCTTTCATGCTAGACATGATCTGACCTTTCTTTCTGCCTTTGCTTTTAAGCATACAAAAGTTTTAGTAATAAAAATTTCCAATCAAACTATGATTTCTTCACACACCTTACAGTATTTTTGTCTGGCTTTAGTATATAGTAATGCTGGCTTCATAAAAGAAGTTTGTAAATGTTTGTACCTGTCATTGTTTGGAAAGATTTGTAAAGGATTTGTATTAATTAGTCTTTAAATCTGTGATAGAATTCTCTATCGAAGCCATCTGGTCATGAGTTTTTTCTTTGTTGGGATGTTGCTGGCTTCCAAGTTGATATCTGCAGTTATTAGATTTCCATTTCTTCATGATTTGGTCTTGGTTGATTGTGTATTTCTAGGAATTTATCTGTCTCTTTAGCGCATCCAATTTATTGTTATATAATTGTCCATAGTACTATCTTATAATCTTTACCTCTGCAGCATTAGTTTGAAGGGTCTACTCTACCATTTTTTATTTTTCTCTTTTTTTTCTTAGTGTAGCAAAGGGTCTACCGATTTGTTGATATTTTCAAAAATTCAACTCTTTTGTTTCATTTTTTTCTATTCTCTATGTGTTTACTTTCTTTCTACTCTTTATCATTTCCTTCCTTCTGTTAATCCTTGATTTAGTTTGTTCTTTATGTCTGTGTGTGGTGCTGGGAATTAAACCCAGGATGTTGTATGTACTAGATGAGCACTGTCCCACTACCCTAGACTCCCAGACTCCTGACTCCCTTTGAGATAGGGTCTTACTAAGTTGCCCAGGTTGTTCTAAAACTCATGATTTTCAGTGTTCCTCTTGTTCAGCTTCCTAAGTAGGTAGCATTACAGGCAGGTATTACCACCACCAGCTAGTTTATTCTTTTTCTAGTTCCCAAAAATGTTTGCAAAAAATGTGCATTCATGCTGTTGCTGTTGGTAGAATGTTCTGGGTGGAAAATTGTTTGCATTGAGACCTTTCTTCCTCATTAATATAGACATGGTGGTGCATGCTTGTAATCCTAGACATGGTGGTGCATGCTTGTAATCCTAGCATTCTGGCTGTCTGAGGCAGAAGTATTCCAAGTTTGAGCCCAGTCTGGGGTAACAAGATCCTGTCTCAACAGACACAACAAATAAAAAGGGGAGGTTAGTAATAGCTCAGTGATAATGCCCTGAATTCAGTTCCCTTTGCTGCTAAAGAGCCAGGGAGATAGCTCAGTAGAATAAGCATTTGCCTATCAAGCATAGGATCCTGAGTTCAATACCTGATGCCACAAAAACAAAGAAGCAAGCCTACTGCTGCTAAAACAATATTAGTGTTCATTACTGTGAGCTTTCCTTTTACTTCTGCTTTTGTTGCAACTAATAAGCTTTAGCATGCTGTGGTTTTGTCTTAAAATATTGTCTAATTTTTACTGTGATTTTTTTTGACTCATGGGTTAAGAGTTTGATATTCAGTCTCCACATATTTATGTTTTCCAGTGTTTTTTCTGCTCTTTTTTTAATTTTTTACAATTGTGTCCGTAAATGATAACTAACAGATTACCATTTTCTAACTTTGGAAGGTTTTTAGCCTACCATGTGATCTGTCCTAGTATTCCAAAAATGTTTGCAAAAAATGTGTGTTCATACTGTTGCTGTTGGTAGAATGTTCTGTATATCTTAGGTCCAATTTGGTCTATAGTATTCTTCAAATTATCTGTTTCCTGACTGATCTCCTATCTCATTGTTGTACTCATTATTGAAAGTAGGATATTAAAATTTCGTACCCTTGTTTCATTACTGTTTCTTCCTTTAAAATTCTGTTAGGGGGCCGGCAAGATAGCTCAGTGAACTAAAGCACCTGCTTAGGCAAGCTTAGGTAAGCGCAGGGACCATGGTTTGATCCCCAGCACCACCTGTCTTGCCAGCCCTACCCCCAGGGCAAGCTGAGCCAGCCACAGAGTCCAGGTGTGGTGGTGCACACCTGTAATACCAGCACTGGGGAGGCTGAGCACAGGAGGGTCACTATGAGTCTGAGCTGTATAATGAGACCCTATAACAACCAAATACATTAAAATAAACATAGAGCATGGGAGACAACTCAGCAACATAAGAGCCTGACTGGCATGCACAAGGTCCTGAGTTCAATTCCAGTACTGAAAAAAGAAATATTTGCTTCATATATCTGGATTCCATGTTATTTGGTATATTTATACTTATTATATCTTCCTAGTAAATTGAACTTTTCATCAATATAATATCATTTTTTGTGTCAGATGAGACATTAAGTGTTGGACCTAAAGCCTATGTTGCCTAAATATGGCTGCCTTGTTCTCTTTTGGTAATAAGCTCCATAAATATCTTCCTCTAGCCTTTCACTTTAAGCTTATATGTGTCTTTACATCTAAGGTAAGTTTCTTGAAGATGACATATAGCTCTATCTTGTTTCTTTTCGTTTTTTTTTAATTCTTGAGTCACTCAATGTCTTTTGACTAAGGAGTTTCCTCCATTTGTATTTAAAGTAATTACATTACTGATTTTTTAAAAAGTTAGTTGTGTTATAACTTGTATCTACTTTGTTCATATTTTTCTGTTTTCTGTTTCCCTTAGTGTTACTGACATTCTTTGATTCCTTTCTCCTTTTGCCTGTAACTTCACTAGATGTTTTCTTTATGATTATCACTTGTATTAAATAAAATATTTAGTAGCTATACCAATCTATCAGTTCTAAAAAAAAAAAAAAAAAACTACTGTTACCACCCTCATTGTTTTTGATGTTAGCAAATGACTTTTATGTTGCTTATCCATTCACATGCTTCTATAGTTATATATGTGATTATCTTTTAAACCATATACCAGAATTAAAAGAGCTTTACATGCCACCATTATGGCATTACAGAGTTCTAAATTAATTGTCTTGATTAGTTTCTGCATTGCTCAGACAAAATACCTGACCACAACTTAAAGGAGAAGTTTATTTTGACTCATAGTCCAGGAGTTTTAGTCCATTTAAGGAGACTTAAACACAGAAATGACATGTTGGAAGGACCTGGATGAAGGCTAGCTGCTTACATAATGGTAGTCAGGCAGCAGAGGAAAAAAGAAGAATCCAGGAAGGCAGATATAATCCCCCAGATCACCCCCCAGTGACCCACCTCTTCCAAGCCAACTCCACCTCCTAACAAAACATTCAGCTCAAAATCCATGATCCCATAACTCTCCAAAGCCAGGCCCATGCGCATATGAGGCTTTGGAGGTACATTCCTCGTCTAAAACTTAATGTCTCACATGTAATGTTGTGTTTCTCAGTGCATCCAATCAATGGTCCCATGAGGTCAACTTATCCCATTGCTGATGATACTAACTACAATCACTTGGCTAAGATGGTGTCTATCACGTTTTTCATGAAAAATACTATTTTTGATTTAAAAATACTGCTTTGTGTTTAATGTCTTGGGATCTGCTTTCATACTAAAGAATTCTGTTGTTTTTCTTGAATCTTTTGCCATCTAATTTAATATCTACTAATGATTTTTCCCTCAATAAATTATTACTATGATGCTTGCGATTATAGTAATAATCTACTTCCAGCATTTCTTCTTTCATCAATTGGCATTCTGTTGAAAAGAAAAAATTGTTAGTAATTTTTATTTATATTATTATGTGCTCATAAGTTCATATTTTCATGTTATCAAATAGACTAGAATCTATTACTATACTTGTTGTTGTTGTACTAGAAAGCATATTCAAGCCTTGTCCTTGCCAGGCAGGCACGTGTGCTGGTGAACTAAGATGGTGTCTATCACGTTTTTCATGAAAAATACTATTTTTGATTTAAAAATACTGCTTTGTGTTTAATGTCTTGGGATCTGCTTTCATACTAAAGAATTTTGTTGTTTTTCTTGAATCTTTTGCCATCTAATTTAATATCTACTAATGATTTTTCTCCCTGGCTACACTAATTTATTTTTTTTCTATTGCACCAAATTTATTTAATCAGTCTTCTATTTTAGATGTTTGAGTGATCGTTTATTTATTATTTTTTTTTTACTGTTGGGGAACATTTTTTTTAGTAATTTTATTGAGAAATAACAATGAGACAGTTTCAAAACCGGTTACTACCACAGTTTCAATAATTAACACATTGCATATTGTTATCTTCTTACAGTTATTCATAGTACAAGATGCAGACATGATATCCTGTCCAAACACTATTGGTACAAATCTTTCTTCTCACTGAATTAAGAGAAAGTAGCTGTATATGTATCCTAACTATTTTGTATATACAGATACAAATGGTCATTCATTTTTTATCTCAATTTTTAATATTAAGCTAATTGGAGTACATTTAGTGGGTGAAATACATTTTTTAAATTTCATCCTTTAAATTACAGCCCCAAGAAATCAGTTCACTTTTGAGCATCATAACTCTTTATGGAGCTAAGAGAATTCTGTTTCTTTTCTATTCCAGTGCTTTATTCTCAGGGTTTCAGTGGACTCTTTCCTCCTTGCCAGGTCATCTTCATGTTCCTCCTAAAAATATGGAATACTTCATGAATTTGCATGTAATCCTTGTGCAGGGGCCATGCTAATCTTCCTTGTATTGTTCCAATTTTAGTGTATATGCTGCCAAAGCAAGCACTGGTCATTCATTTGTATCCCCTTTTTTTGTTTAGTTTTGTCAGAGAAGGATATTCCATTGTCGTTTAAATACTGTAGGTGCATGAATTCACAAAATATTCCAATATAGTCCACTAGTCCATAATAGTAGTGGGTCATCCGCAGGACTGGCAATGTCAGAAGTTGTTGACCTGAGCCCTTTACAACCCAGCATACCAACATGACTTCACTCCTTATAACTCATTATTTTACCTTTCTGCTGGATGGTTAACACCAAGATAAAGCAAGACCTATATTACAAGAAATATAACGTACTTGTATCTCATAAAGTCAGTCAAGTCCCCTCAGGATTTATCCTGAAAGCCTGTACCTCACTTTGCACATCCTTTGTCAGTGTCAGCCATGTGGATGAGTCACAGCCATTGCTTGACCAAATTGCTCTCTGTGAAAGTCTGAAAGAATGTTTCTCTCCGTTTGACCCTCCTTAGGCACACTCTACATCATCGATCACATTCCTTTGTGGCCCCATCATCTCCTTGATCAGAAAATTTGGGACACAAGTGAGTTACATGATGTTACAGTATAGGTTCTCCTATGTCCTGAGTCTTCACTGACCTTGAAAGGCTAGGGTCAAAATGTTGGCTGTCCTTGCAGCCCTTCTTTTTCTCTAATTTTTGGTCTACAAACTTAGGTTATTAACCCTCCAGAAGAGAAGTTTATTATTACCTACAACATATGCAGTTGAGTTTAACCTCATTATCTGTCTGAGTATCAAACATCTTAGGCATAACATGAAACAGGTATTTTCCACCAAGTATTGATATGTTAAACTTCAAGTCCCTACAGAATATGAATTTAAAAAGTTAAAAAATATTTTTAAAATATGAGTAAACAACTGCATATTTTTACACAGAAATTTAGAAATCTAACCATATACAGCATTGTACCAGGACAGTCCTGTGACATTTTTTTTTCTAGTCACTTTTTTTCATTTATTACCTTTTTTTTTAAACAAACATTTACTTGAGAGACACTATGGAAATAATTGGTATGTCGTGACAAGCAGTACGTCTTTAGAAGACCAGAATGAAAGGCATTCCAAACATGACCCTACTATTACACATTGCTATCTTCAGTGCAGTTGCTTACTTCACAGTTATCAGCATATATAGTTAGTCAGGGTTAGAATCCTACCAATTAACTGCTAGTTTCGAAAACCTGCTGTTGTTTCTCAGGATCAAAGCCTTACCCATCTTGTGTGTATAAATGTATGGCTTTGCCCCTGTCATGTTTCCCAGCTTTTCTCCTTGCCCTCTCTTCATTGTCTAATCCTCAAGTTCTCACTTTCCTTTTAATTGCGTTGTACCTTTCTATTTCTATTTCTGTTTCTTCTTTTGAGTTCTTATACTAGGGAGACCATAGGATATTTACACATGTGGGTCTGGTTTATTTCACTTATGAATATATCTTCAAGTGGCAGCCACTTAAATATAAAGGCTCCGAATTTATCATTGTTTATAGCTGAGTAATACTCCATTGTATAAAAATACCACATCTTTATCATCCATTCTTCAGATGACGGGCATCTTGGTTGTTTCCAAGATATGGCTATCACAAATTGTGCTGCTCTAAACATAGGTACATATATATCACTATGATATGATGTTTTTGCTTCCTCTGGGAAAATTCCCAGTAGGGCGATAGCTGGCTTGAATGGGATTTCCAGTCCTAGTTTCTTAAGGAGTCTCCACATTGATTTCCATAATGGTTGTACCAGTCTACATTGCCACCAGCAGTGGAAAAGGGTTCCATTTTCCCCACAGCCTCTCCAACATTTGTTGTTAGTTAATTTGTTTATAATAGCCATTATTTCTGGGGTAAGATGATATTTCAGTGTTGTTTTAGTTTGCATTTCATGAATGGTTAGTAATGTGGAGCATTTTTTCATATATTTATTTGCTTCTTTAATTTTGTCCTCTGAGAAGTGTGTGTTTATCTCGGATACCCATTTCTGGATTGGGTCTTTAAATTTTGGGGCCCTAATGTTTTTTAGTTCTTTATAAATTCTAGAGAGCAGACCTTTATCTGAGTGCTTATTAGTTGAGATTTTTTTTTAAATTTGTGGGTTATCTTTTCATGTTGTTGGTAATTTCTTTTGACATGCAAAAACTTCTCAATAAGAAGAGGTCCCAGTTGTTAATTCTTTCAACTATTACCCATGTGATTTGATTTTTGTTCATGAACTCCTTGCCTATCCCCATGTCTTCAAGAGTTCTTCCTACTTTCTCTTCCAGGAGATTTAGTGTTTCTGGTTTAATGCTTATATCTTTAATCCATTTTGACTTTAGCTTAGTGCATCATTATACACCTGGGTCAAGTTTTAGTTTTCAGCACATAGAGAGCCAATTTTTCCAACACCATTTGTTAAAAAGGCAATCTTTCTTCCAATAAGCATGTTTGGCCCCTTTGTCGAAGATCAGGTAGCTGAGTGTGTTTGTAGATGCTTCTACATCTTCTAATCTATTCCATTGATCCTCAGGTCTATTTTGTTGCCAGTACCATTCTGATTTTATCACAGTAGCCTTGTAGTATAATTTCAAGTCAGGAATTGTAATGCCTCCTGCCTTGTCTTTGTTGCCCAGGATTGCCTTTGCTATTCTATGTCTTTTCTGGTTCCAAATAAATTTTAGGAATGATTTCTGTAGATCTGGGAGGTTTGTTGTGTTAGTTTGATAGGGATTGCATTAAATCAGTACAGCAATTTTGGAAGTATGGCCATCTTGACTATGTTGCTTCTTCCTATCCAGGAGCATGGAATATCTTTCCATTTTCTGAAATCCTCTAGGATCTCTTTTTTAAGAGTACTGTAGTTTTCCTTGAAAAGATCTTTGACTTCCTTAGTTAGATGAATTCCAAGATATTTCATTTTCCGTGGTGCTACTGTAAAAGGTATTGTTGTCTAATTTCTGTCTCAGTGTGTTTGTTATCTGTGTAGAAGAATGCTATTGACTTTTGGGTATTGACTTTATAACCTGCTATGCTACTGAATTTGTGTATCAATTCTATTACTTTCTTTGTGGAGTTTTTTGAGTCTTCCAAGTAAAATATCATGTCATCTGCAAATAATGATAATTTAACTTCTTCTTTACCTATTCTTTTTCCTTTTATTTCTCTTTCTTCTCTAATGGCACTAGCTTATGATTCCAGAACTATATTGTATAGGGGTGGTGATAGAGAACATCCTTGTCTTGTACCAGATCTGAGAGTAAAAGAGTCCAGTTTTTCTCCATTTAGAATTATATTAGCAATTGGGTTGTCATACATAGCTTCTATCAGATTAAAGTAGAAGCTATCTATTCTAATTTTCTGTAGGACTTTGAACATGAATGAATGTTGGACTTTGTCAGAAGCCTTTTCTGCATCAATTGAGATGATCATGTGGTTTTTAGATTTGGCTCTATTGATATAGTGTATTACATTTATAAATTTGTGTATATTGAACCATCCTTGCATCCCTGTCATGAATCCTACTTGGTCTTGGTGTATAATCTTCTTGATGATTTGCTGTATTCTATTTGCTAGGATTTTATTGAGGATTTGTCCCTCTATGTTCGTGAGGGAGATTGGCCTGCAGTTCTTTTTTTTTTTTTTCCTGCAGTTCTCTTTTTTAGTTGTGTCTTTCCCTGGTTTTAGTATCATACACTAATTTATTTTGATGACCAATTTATACCAGACTTGGTAAAAGGCAGCCTCTTTAAGCTTTCTCTGAAGTCCTTTGGACCTTTTCCGATCACTATTTAAGAATTTCCTAACTTTAAAAAAAAATGTGAAGAAAGAGTAGTAATTTCCCAAGGGAACAAAAAGTTGAGAGAAAAGCTATTCTAAGCAGAGAAAACATCTTTATGGCAGAAAAATTTGAAATCATATTATATATTCTGATAATTTAATAGTAGCAGTTTTCTAAGGGATATAACAATGAATGATGTGGCTGAGAAGGAAGCAAGGAAGGCTTTTCTATACTAAAAAGTTGAATTTTTGTTCTGTGAGTAATAGTAAACTATTATCTAAATTATAGAGATAATATTTTATGAAAACAATGCCTTGTTTTATAATCTTGTTGTACAAATATCCAAAATACTTTCATTTACTATTTTTAATTCAGTTCTAGAAAATTACAATCTTTTCAGTGTGCCAAGTTTTCTCTGTAAGCGTGTGAGACTTATTTTGAATAATCAAATAAATGAACTGTTAAAACTATCAAATTGAAGATGATATCACATAATTTTCAGCTAAACAAACTACCACATAATCCTGAATATCTCAACTCTACTATTGCTGGTGCTTTCCTAGAGCTTTGGCAACAATTTCTCTTAATTGGAGAGGTTTATATGAAAGACCAAATGCTTTGTACACCTGAATTGCACATTCTTAAAATTACCAAAAGGCTCTAACTCTAACCTAAATAGATTGCTATGAGATGTCAGAATCTAGCATAGCACAGCCAGGAGGCTGAGAAGCAAAGGGTGGATCCTTGGAAGAATACACACTCCTTCCAGGCACAATGACATGTGCTTGTAATCCCAGTACTTGGGAGTGTGAGTCTGGAGGATGGACATGAGTTCAGGGTCAGGCTGCATTCCACAGTGAGTTCAAGACCAGCCTGAACTACATAGTTAGACCCTATCTCTCAAAAAAGAAAAGAATACACCTGCAACCACCTCTTAACAGTGCAAGCTCATCAGTAGATAAATATCATGCTCCCTGATTCAGTCAACTTCCAAACATAAGTCTTTGGGAGGACATTTTAGATCTAAACCACAATACTCATTCTTTTAAAGAGCAAAGTTTGTTCCTGAAGTTTTGATTTAATCAGTGAAAACCTTCATGAATATTTTGTTCCTAATATAGTCTGTTCTATGATCTGAAAGTATCTTTTCTCCATTTAGTTTTAATTTATACAATGTATTTTCAAATCAAGATGAAACATTGTACATTAAAAATCAGTAGGTTAAGAAGGATACA